CGCAGTATAATACTGCGTTTTCCTTATAATAAAATATAGTTGTCGTCTTCTTCCCCACGACAGAAGCAGTTTCCATTTTAAAAAACCCTCCCCCACCATTTCTGGTCCCCCCCTCCACGCGATTAAAAAAAATAAAAAATTCTTGGGCCCTACCTGTCACACAAAAGGTGAAGAGCGTAGGTCCCGCATACAACCCAAGCCTTGGATTCCTTCTTTCGGGGTCAAAATTTCAAATTTTCGATATTTTAAAAAACATAAATCGAGGTATTCCGATTTAGTTTATGTCGAAACTCGTAGAGCATATGCATATTTGTTTTTTGAATGTGTTTCCACGTTGATTTGTCTTATGTTTGCGATTAAATTTGTATGTTTTTTTTACCCGGATTAAATTATTAGTTAGTGTTTTTAAAAAATAGTTAAAACTTGAGAAATTATTTTTATTGTTAATGAAATTGTTCGCAAATATCTTTTACTGTTTTATATGTAATTTCGTGAATGTTATGTTCATATGTTTGTTGTTTTTATTTAGTTTAGATTATTTATTTGCTTAAAGAATGGTGGCCTTTTAGCGTAGTAAAATATAGAGCTTTTTATCGTAGTAAAATATAGAGCCTTTTAGCATAGTAAAATATAGAGCCTTTTAGCGTAGTAAAATATAGAGTCTTTTAGTGTAGAGTCTCTGTAGTTTAAGTATGTACTAACTACAAACTCTATCCAATTACACTTTACAAAATGAATTATTTAATTTATAAAATAAACTTACAAAACTAACAAATTAATATATGTTGTCAAATTAAATATCGAGCGTGGAACTCATAGTTGTATACCCTGTCCAATTAAAAATTAATTATTTAATTTATAAAACTAACAAAATTCTAAAAATATTGAAATTGACACACAAAAGAATTAAGGATAGCTTGGTGCTACTGGGCATCAAATATCGAGCCTGGAACCCATAGATAATTACTCTATCTAATTAAAAATTAATTATTTTATTTATTAAACAAACAAAATTTTAAAAATATTGAAATTGACACACATAATAATTAAGGATAGCTTGGTGCTATTGGGTCTCAAATATCGAGCTTGGAACCCATAGATAATTACTCTATCCAATTAAAAATTAATTATTTAATTTATTATAACACAAACACACAATTTATATTGTTTAAATTGCAGTCGACGACATGGACTTGTCGCCTGTCCATCATGGACCAGTCGCGGATCAGATATTAGTGTTACAGGGCGACCATAGGTCCGCCTATGTATGGGAGGGACATCTATTGGATCAGACTCTCCGCGCCAGGAGATCGGATGACTTGTGGGACTTTTTGAGGGAGAAAGCTTTCCATGCCCGCGTAGTCCATCGCCTGCGTGCTACGGGCTTCCTTAGGATTTTTGAGATTAGGCGGATGCAGCTCGATTGGTCTCTAATCAAGGCGTCGATAGAGCGGTGGCGACCGGAGACGCACACTTTTCACATGCCCATTGGAGAAGCCACCATCACGCTTCAGGATGTTCAGGTTTTATATGGGCTGCGTGTTGATGGACTGGCCGTTGCACTGCCCCAGCATATGAGAGCTATGACGCGTGTCCAGTATTTGGATTTGCTGGGGCAGTATACTGGTTTCAGACCACAGGGTGAGGCTGCAGTTAGAGGGGGCAGTCGCATTTCTGTGACAACTATCAGACAGCATATGGAGGTATTACACCTCGACATTACCGGCAAGACAGAGGATCTCCATATTGACCGGTACATGAGGTTGGCACTGTTCCTTCTTTTTGGGGGTGTCTTGTTGCCGAACACTTCGGGAAATCTAGTGAGTCTGCGCTTTTTGCATCATCTGCAGCAGCTAGATGAGTTACCCAGTACAGTTGGGGTGTTGCTGTTGTCTCATACCTGTACAGGAGTATGTGCCGGGCTAGCATGGGCACCCAGGTGGACATATGTGGTTTTTTGCCGCTTTTACAGGTGACAACATTTTCGAATACTCTGTTCATTACTTCGAATTCTATATAGTCAAAATGACTCTTAAATTTTACATCAACCTTTTATCTTAGGTTTGGGCCTGGGAGCAGATCCTGCCGTTGCAGCCACCTCTACCACCACTAGAGCCGGGTGTAGCACCTCCGTTTCTCTCTCTAGCTACAAGGTGGGTTCTCCAGCGTGGGAACTACAGATGCAGTGATGCTCATCATAATCTCCCCCTTGTCAGGGATGTGTTAGATATGTTGGTGGATGGACAGGTAAATATGTACCTTAACTTAGTTGTTATAAATTCACTTGTATTGCGCATACTCACTGTTATGTTATTGTTTGATAGTTCATCTGGACGCCGTACAGCGACGAGTTGCTAGCTGATCTGCCCGATTATTGCTCGGTCGACCGACTGCTTTGGAGCACTTCCGTCCCGATGATGTGCCTCGATGTGGTGGAGCATCATGCCACAGAGCGTGTACTTCGCCAGTTTGACCGTCCCCAGACTATACCGATGGAGCCTGCATGGGTGGCTACACATTATCAACGGGATGATCGTTCGAGGGTGGACGACGAATTTTTAGGATGGCTAGAGGCACAGGTCTATATTTGGGACCAGCGAGAGGACTTGATTCCTCCACCACCTTCACAGATCAAGGAGGCGACTATTGAGCTCTATACGTCATGGTACCGCCGTCACACCCGACTGATGATCGGGAACCCCGTTCATGTACCTGGCGATCGGTTCAGACCATACGCCGGGAGGCACGAGGCAGTGGTATCTTTTTGTGGGATAAGTCTTATAATTGTGATATAGCGTTATTTAATTAATATTTTAAATGTTGTGTAGGCTGTTGGGCATCACATGTTCTACCAGTTAGGACAAGAGATGCAGCAACATGCCGACAATGCTGATGTTTTTGAGTTTGTCCGGCGGGTGGAACAGCTGGCTCTCCGGACCCTGCGGCGAGCCAGAGAGGGCGCGAGGTTGGATCACGAGGCTGAGTATGCGGCGCCAGAGGAGCACCATCGGGGTAGGCATGTCCCACGAGGTAGGGGTCGTGCACGAGCCAGGGCTGCGGGGAACGGCGAGGAGGTGGTCCCCAGTAAAGGGGCGTTGAGGCGCCTGTGGACCCACCTGTTGAGGCACCTGATGAGGATCTTGGAGATGATCATCCGGGTTATTTGCCTCAGCTAGACGAGCCTTCCAGCAGCATGCCGTCGTACACCCTTCAGCTGGATCTGCCAGCATCACAGGTCACCCCATCATATCCATCGTCAATCACGGGTATATTCGACGGAGATGTAGACCAGTTCTTTTCAGGCACATCTACCGCAGCTGAGGATCGGCCGACCCGAGACGTGGATGGCGGGTGCAGGTTGAGTTATGCCTCATCCCCAGCGGTTGATGCGGATCTACCACAGGCGCAGGTATGTTTGTATTGCTGTAAAATTTCAATTTGTTTTCTTTTCCTTAATGATTTGCCATAAATTAATTTTTAATGCTAAGCTTAGTAATTGTTTTGTAGGTTGCTGACGGCCCGACGGCCCCTTCTACCGATCCTGCCAGTTGTACTGTCGATGTTGTTGTGCATCCTCACATAAAGAGGTGACTTGATGATGATGATCCTGATAGTGTACCCGGGCGACAGGGGTTGCGACTCAAGCCAGCGGCTGCACTGAAGCACACAGGCTGCGGGAGTCATTGATTTATTTTTGTTTGTATTTTGCGTACATACTACATTATGTAAATACTGGCAAGAATTGTGTTTTAACAACAATTTTATTTTAACACAATTTGAACAACAATTTTATTTTAACAGTACAACACAAACACAAACATAGCAAACCTAACATAACATAAATGAAAACACATGACACGGGAAACATAAAGATACAGTACTACGCTCAACACGACCCCTGCCTTTGTTTAGTCACGACCGCTTAGTATTCTCTGCTCCAACCACTAGAGTTGTTAAGCGCAAAAAATAAGTAAAATGCGCTCGTTATTTATAGGCAACACAACACACAAAACGCAGTATAATACTGCGCTTTACATAGTAAATTTTTCTGAAACGAAACAGCTTTTGCGCAGTCGGTTCAGCTTTTTCAGACCGACAAGACAACACACAAAACGCATTATAATACTACGCTTTACATAGTAAATTTTTCTGAAATGAAGCAGCTTTTGCGCAGTCGGTTCAGTTTTTTTAGATCGACAAGACAACACACAAAACGCATTATAATACTACGCTTTACATAGTAAATTTTTCTGAAACGAAGCAGCTTTTGCGCAGTCGGTTCTGCTTTTTCAGACCGACAAGACAACACACATAATGCATTATAATACTACGCTTTACATAGTAAATTTTTCTGAAACGAAAAAACAATGTCTTCATTTTTTCTTTGATATCTTTTATTTTCATGTTTGTTGCTTTAGCTATGGTTGTTGTGCTTTTATCTCTTCGAACATTATGTTGTGAAATTTCAATCTTTAGATTTGTCTTTTTTACTAAAACCAATAAGTTTAATGTTGGACTACCATATCATCATCCCAATTCAAATGTTCATGTTAAAAAATAAGATGTAACAAGACTGTGGTACATAATTTTATTTGATAGATATTGCAACATACACAAGTACATACACTTATTACAAAAACATTACAAAAACAAAGACTAGGTGTAGCCTTGATAGTTGGGTACATTCGACAAACTTGCACCAGGAGCTAAAGGACATTTACGACGGTCGTGACCTGTTTGCGAGCATATTCCACATTTACGCGCATAAACGGTATCACCAACATCCATTTGGTTCCGTATACGCGTTCTCTTTTGCACTTGCAACTTGTACAAATAGACCTTGTTACACACCATTTTAAAAGGTTCCGGCGGCCAATAATGCTCAGCACCCAATGGCTGCAACTGCCCACTATATGTGTCTACGTATGCAGCACTGTATTGCCTATCAATATAGTTGGTTGCCCCTAAACCAACTTGTTGAAAGCACTTCAAGGCATGTGTGCACGGCATGTGGTAGATATCATTCCGAGTTGATTTGATAGGAATCGGATGCGCGGAAGTGTTTTTAGAAGTTTTTGAGTTCACGAGTTAATCCAAGCCTTTTGGCATCTAATTCGTACTTTTTGAGGTTATTTCAGTATTTCGAGCAGCGAGCGAGTTCGTGTGATGTTTTTAGACTTGTGAGGATGTTTGGTGTGGAGCCCCGAGGGCTCGGGTGAGTTTCGGACGTTCGGAAGGATGAGAGTAACTTCAGTTTTTCTGGTGTTCATGGCAGCTGTTGCAGATCTTGCAAATGCAAAACTTTGATTGCATTTGCGAGCTCGCATTTGCAAAGAGACAATCGCATTTGCGATGTTGGGAAGGCTCTGAGGGTTTCGCATTTGTGAAGGTATTGGTCGCATTTACGATCATGGCAGAGTTCGCCATTCTTCGCATTTGCGAAGGTTCGCGCATTTGCGACCTTGACAGTAGGAGCCTAGGTTCGCATTTGCGATGGATTTATCGCATTTGCGACCTTCGCATTTGCGAACCAGGTGTCGCAAATGCGATATCTGAGGCATGTGTATAGCTTATTAAAAGCTGGACTTAGGCCATTTAACTCATTTTCTTTCAACTCTTGGGCGATTTTTGGAGCTCTTGGAAGGGGGTTTTCACCTAGCACTTTAAGGTAAGTAATTTCTACACAACATAAGTTAAATACATTCCCAACTTCGCAAATGCGAATGGCTCTTCGCAAATGCGAGCTCGCAGATGCGATCAAAGCTTCGCATTTGGGAGACCTGCAACAGCTTCCAAGAACACTAGAAAAACTGAAGTTATCCTCATCCTTCTGAACGTCCGAAACTCACCCGAGCCCTCGGGGCTCCACACCTGTCACGACCAGGATTCCCCACCGTCGGGATTGTGATGGCACCTAACATTTCACTTGCTAGGCAAACTAACGTTAGAGATCATTAAGACAATTCTTAAACCTTTTAGTGATTAACAACAATTAAGCCATAACAAGTTAAAAAGAGTGCGGAAATCCATAACCATCTTAATGTTTATACACAAATACCCGGATCTAGAGTCACAATTCACGAACTTCTAAGATTTAACTACAAGTAAGTGTCTGAAAGAATACAACTGTTTTCGAAACAAAAGAAACAATAAAGAGAATGTATAGAAGGGGACTCTTGGGCTTGCGGACACTAACAGGTCTACCTTGGGTCTCCGATCAGATGAAGCCAGCAGCTAACCTCAGGATTAGCTCAGACGAGTACCAAAATCTTCACAGGAAGTGCAGAGTAAAGTATCAGTACAACCGACCCCATGTACTGGTAAGTGTCGAGTCTAACCCTGGCGAAGTAGTGACGAGGCTAAGACAAGAAACCTACAGATAAACTTGTGCAGTATAATAGTATATATATACCAATAATAGCAATAAAAGAAACAAGACCGGTAATATTGGGAGGGGGACATGCTTGGGGATCACTAGATAAAGGATCACAGTAGTAAATAAGCACTTTGATCAACCGATATACTTTGAACAAATAGGAACCAGTAACCATAGTAAAAGAAAATACACGGCATCACCCTTCGTGCTTTCACTCTCAACCTCACCATATGAATTAAATAGAAACAGCACGGCATCACCCTCCGTGCATTAACTCTCTCATAACATGGCACGACATAACCCTTCGTGCATTAACACTCAAATATTGCACGACATCACCCTTCGTGCATTAACACTCACAAAACATGGCACGGCATCACCCTTTGTGCATCAACACTCACAAAACATGACACGACATCACCCTTCGTGCATTAACACTCTCCCTCACCAAAACAATGAGCAATAACAATAGGGAGATAGAAATATCAAGAACAAGCCTTACTCCAACATTTGGTTCCACAATACCAATCTCAACTTGAATCAATACTCACTCAACACCAAAATTCGTAAATTAGATAAGGATGATCAATATAACGATTAACTAGTCTAAGCATGGGTAATATGATCACGGAAAGCTACAATTACATGAATAAGATTCACTCGCATGCTATGACTTGACAACAACGCATAGGTACTCGTCACCTCACCTATACGTTGTACTCAATATTTAACACATAGCGAATAGGCAAATAAGACCTAATCCCTCAAGCCAAGGTTAACCATGACACTTAGCTCGCTTCAACGGCCAAACTCAAAGCTCAACCACAGCTTTTCCTCTCAAACGAGCCTCTGAACTGATAGAATCTAGCATATTACCAACCAAACGATTCAAATTAAGCCCTAGGAACTACCCACGATCGTAAAGAATTCAATTTAGGCCATTATTGAAAAAGTCAACAAAAAGTCAGTACCCGGGCCCGCTTGGTCCGAACCCAAAATTCGGACCAAAATCCGATTACCCATTCATCCCCGAGCCCGGATATATAGTTTGTTTTAGAATCCGGCCTCAATTTGAGGTCTAAATCCCCAATTTTCAAAATCCCTAGTTTCTGCCCAAAAATTCCCTATTCCACCATCAAAACCTTAGATTTTAGGTTGAAATCTTGTAAAATGTAGTGAAAGATTGAAAGAAACTAGTTTAGTATCACTTACCAATGATTCGGGGAAGAAAAATTCTTTGGAAAATCGCCTCTTGTGTTTTAGGTTTTGAAAATTTGAAGAATGGGAGAAAAATCTCGTCTAAGTCACTTTTACACAGCTGCAGATGTCGCAATAAATAAAGCCAGATAACAAATAAAGCCAAGTATAATAGTTATTCTAAGCTCGAATTCTTGAACCCTGAACCAGAGATTTTGGGTTCAGTCTCCAGCAGAGTCGCCAGAGCTATCACACCTCCTTTTTCCACCCGAGGGCGGATATAAGGGAGTTTTTCCAATTAAAGTGATATCATTCGATATGGGGTTATTTTATTTAATTTTCAGAGTCGCCACTTGGGATAGTTTGTTTGGTGTCCCAAGTTACCGGTTTATTTTAAATCCCAAATCGAGGAGAATTTTACTTTATTTAAAAGTCTGCGAAACCAGAAATTCTAAGTAAGGAATTCTGTTAACCCGGGAGAAGGTGTTAGGCATTCTCTGGTTCCGTGGTTCGAGCACGGTCGCTTAAACTATTAATATTAGCCTAATTATCTGATTTACTACATGTTTTAAACCTATTGTGCATTTTAACTTTATAACCGCTTTTAACTATTTATGGAATTATTCTGGAACAAGTTACGATTGTCGTACACTTGTTTGTTTGATACATATTGCGAATCGTGTCACGGGAACTGTACCCACGATCTACAACATGTTTAATTTATTAACATTATTATAAGTTGTGGTCGGGTCACATAAATGTACCCCCGGGTTTGGAAATTATGTATCACAACTACGTCACGAGAACCGTATCCGTAGCTATGATAATTTTATTAT